GGTGTGTAAGATGCCCAAACTCCAATCCCAGAATTCCCTACTACACAACAACATGGGCGAATCTGACTCCATTTTGCTCCATGCACACGCCTAGTGACAATTCCAAGTCTTTAATTCAGAGTTGTTATTTTGGTTTCTGACTTTGCTTGTGCATTGATTCTCATTTTGCCTAGTCTAGTCTGTCTGCCGATCGCCTGACCTGTGCCTGGCTTCTGACCCCAATATTGGATTTTGTTTTGGATTCTTTGCCTGAATTTTGAATAAACTGAATAAACTCTCACCTGCACTTGCATCTGTCTCTGCCGCTTGCCTGACACTCATTCATCCTGAGTGGAAATGAGTTCTCCCACATGTTCACATGTTCACACAACCCACATCAGCATATCTGTTACTGCCTTTAATCAGTTTAGTGTAATCCAGACTTTTCAACAGAGGAACACACTCATAAGCACAGAGCACGTGCATTTGTGTGGATGAGTGTAAATATATAAATATTAAAGCTTAGGATATTATACGGGTTAGGTGTGTGAACCTTCCACAGCCTCTATCTTGCTTGTATTTGTGTGTGTGTGTGTGTGTGTGTCGAATATTTTACTATAGCTGACTATTTTTACTATGGTGCATTGTGGGAATTATATTTATTATTTATTGCTACCGTTATACCATGGTATGATCACTATGGTTGTTATATGCTTAACTATAAAATATCCATGGCTTTACAGTATTTATGTTAAATGTTAGTAATAGTAGTAGTTTGACAGACATACCATAGTAATCAAGTTATAAGAGTGGAGTTGCAAACCATTATTTTCTCTTGTGCCAAAAGAGCATGGTTAAGCGTCGGCTATAAAACGGCTATTTCTTTTTCCTAAGCTAATTTTTTTTCAAGGGTCTTTTTAGGTCATTTTTCAGTTTATCAGTGCAAGGTGGTGTACACATATCCATATCTGACTTTGTCTTGGGTATCAGACTGGGAGGGCTGTGGCCTGGAGGAAGGCTGCTGGCTTCCTGCAAGGGATGTCCTGGACCATGCTCTCTCATAAGAGAACTCCTTACACTTTTATCTCTCTTGATTAGTGCTTTGATTGTGGCCTGCATGTTTACTGATTTAGTCTTGTCTAGTTTATTCCTTTTTGCTGATCACCTGAAGGTTAGCCTGCCTTATGTTTGTCAGTATTGACCAGGTATTATGTTTGTTTGCTACATACAGAAAAGCTTTTTATTTCGGACAGTGCAGGCTATCAGTGGAGGAGCTGGTACAAAAAAAGGCCCAACTGCCCAATGTACAGACATAGCTACTGTCTAAATACATGGTGTGTTTTAGTAAGTAAACTCCAAGGTCATCTGATTAACCGCATGCCATCGACTCTACAGGAACAATGTTTAAGAGATAAGAATTTGAAAATCAGCTGAAAATGCTTTTGATGTTCATGATGATTTCATTACTTTTATTGGCCAATCTGATGTCTTGACCATATCACAAAGCTCTTTGTGTGTGTGTGTGTGTGCGTGTGTGTGCGTGTGCGTATGTGTGTGTGTGCAATGATTATTTGTCGTCACGGTGGCATTTTTCCAGCATGTCTGTCAACCCCTGTGCTGCTATTTTTAACTCTGAGGCTGAAGGGGTGTGTGTGTGTGTGTGTGTATATACAGGCCTGTAACTGGACTCTCCTCTGTTCTCTTCGGGATAATTTTAGACGAGCAGTTGGACATTTCAGCAGGGTGTCGGGTGTCTAGCCCACCACCCTGTGTGTGTGCCGTGTGTGTTTTTGTCTTCTCTCTCTGTCCTTCCTCTGATTGTTTCATATGTGGTTCATTTATTCTTAACTGTTTTCAAAGAGCAGTTGATGGCTGTTTCAGATGAGCATACAGTACATGTTTATAAAAATAAAATGTTTTGTGTGCTTATGTGTTTTTTAGGAGGCACGTAGACTATGAGCACACAGGTGTTATTTTTAGGACATTCAGAGACATTCTGTATTATATTTAATGTTGCAGCCTGTAAAGAGTTTTGGTACTGGGGGCTGATGTTGGCCTTAAACGCTGGATCAGTATCAGATCCAATTTGACCTTTTCCAATAAGATCCACTGATGAATTCCATGTCTTGAATGCATATGATGTTGATCAATCCAACAGTGTGTATTTGAATATAAAACACAAATTGTCTTTAAACTAGCCAACATCACTCCTGTGTCATTTCGCACAACCTGGCAACAGAATGTAGCAGAGAGTTGTCTTGGTTACTAGTCAGTACAACATATCTTTGATATTGGTATTGTATCAGAAATGGAAAAATTGGGATTAATGAAGCCCTGATTATATTTCATGTTTGAGTCTAGAATTTGTAGCATTTTGTTACTGAAAGTTTGTCATAGACCAGTTAGAAACTGTTAGACCTGGTTGTAGAACTGTGTTTTGCAAACTTGTCCTTCAGACAGTCCACATCCCCCCCAACTCTCAACAGAGGTCGAAGGAAACAAAGTACTATTACTCTGTTTCTGTATTTAAGTCTAGTTTTACTAGTATCTGTACTTGAGTTTTTCTTTTCCCTTTTACTTTTACTTTTTCCTATTACTACAATTTATTATTAAAATCTCTCCTTTCTACTCCCTACATTTTCAAACATTTCTCTATAATCATATACTTGTAAAGTCAGGGAAACTTTTTAGCATCAGACAGCTTCAAAGGGTTGATGTAAATTCCAAACAAATCTAAAATTTGATTGGACATACTCACAGAGCACTTTATTAGGAACACTACACTAATACTGGGTAGGGCCTCCCTTTGCTCTCAGAACAGGCTCAATTCTTCATGGCATGGATTCCACAAGATGTTGGAAACATTCCTTTGAGATTCTGGTCCATGTTAACATAATTGCATCAGGCAATTCCTGCAGATTTTTCTGGTGCACTTTTCATGCTGTGAATCTCCTGTTCTACCGCATCCCAAAGGTGTTCCACTGGAGTCAGATCCGGTGACTGGGAAGGCCACTGAAGAACACTGAACTCATTGTCAAGTTCATAAAACCAGTTTGAGATGACTTTTGCTTTGTGACATGGTGCATTGTCATGCTGGAGGGAGCCATTAGAATATGAGAACTGTGGCCATGAAGGGATGCACATACTCAAATAGGCTGTGCCATTCAAGCAATGATTGGTTGGTGTAAACTGACCCAAAGTGTGGGCCAGTTTCAGAAATCAAGATTCAACAGACCAGGCTACGTTTTTCCAGACTTCTGACAGAAGTGGAACCCGACGTGGTCTTCTGCTGTTGTAGACCATCCGCCTCAAGTTTTGATGTGTTGTGCATTCTGAGTTGCTTTTCTGCTCACTACAATTGTGCAGAATGGTTATCTGAGTTACTGTAGCCTTTCCGTCAGCTCGAACCAGTCTGGCCATTCGCCATTGACCTCTCTCATCAACAAGGAGTTTCCGTCCGCAGAACTGCCGCTAATGTTTTTTGGATGTTTTTTCTTTATTGCACCATTCTGAGTAAACTCTAGAGACTGTTGTGTGTGAAAATCCCAGGAGATCAGCAGTTATAGAATTACTCAGACCAGCCCGTCTGGCACCAACGATAACGCCATGGTCAAAATCCTGAGATAACATTTTTTCCCCATTCTGATGGTTGATGTGAATATTACCCGAAGCTGCTGGCCCGTACCTGCATGATTTTATGCATTGCACTGCTGCCACACGACTGGCTGATTAGATAATTGTATGAATGAACAGGTTTACAGGTGTTCCTAATAAAGTGTTTGGTGAGTGTGTATACAGTATATATGGCTGTACAGTATATATGAATAGGGAAAAGTTTGTATGATGACAGGCTGTGGGGTGGCAGCCATGAGAAAAAGACAGGCAGAGAACACTAACCACATGATGCTGACTCACAAAGAGTCTGTGAGACACACACACATGGTGGCCCAGAACAGAAACAGCTCTGCTGATGTCTGCTGTTGAATACCATATGAGGCAGAGTCTCTCTTACATGCACTGAATGATGGGAGTTTGCTGGCCAAACAGACTGGTCAGCAGATTGGTGTGGATCTTTGTGTTTTGGCAGAAGCTAAAAATGCTCATCATGTCTGTGTGTGTGTGTTTGTGTGTGTGTGTCTTTTTGTTATCTATTTATCAGCAATATCAGGAGGACTTCATATATTAAATGCCACCTGATCGCAAGTCTTAGCATTTTCACCAACACTTATGTTAAATCGTGGCACTTTCTTCCTATGACTATCTCACATTTAGTGCTACATCTCCACAAACAGTTTTATACTTCGACAGTATTTTGTGTCACTTATAACCCACTTTGGATACACCATAAAATGTAAGAAGAAAGTATGATTGCTTCAGAGTGTGCCTAGCTGAAAGTGTGTTCTTTCTTGTGTGTGTGATGCAGGAAAGCCATATCTCGCTCGGGCCTGCAGCACCTGGCCTCAGTCCAGAAGCCTCTCCCTGCTGTGACCAACGGACCAGCCAAGGAGCTGCGTGCCACCATCGACTGGAGTGTGAGTCACACACTCTGTATTTCATGCCTCCTTCTCATCCTACACACAGATATAGCTCTGCTCCAAATCTGAAATACTACATGCACAACATTGTGTTTTAGCTGTTTGTATGATGCAAAGGCCCTTAGAAAAGTGTTGTAGTTATAAGATAGCTAGATAAGTTGCTGTGTATTTACCTTCACCTACCTTGTAGCTGCGCTCATCATCTGTATTTTCAGGAAAGCCTACCATATGATGTATGGTCTCTGTACACCAACATGGTGGGCCAAAAAGGTATATATGTCAAAGGCTGCATTTACATTACAGGCCTTGATGCACAATTCTGCTATTTTGACACAGATCTGAGTTGTAAAGTGTGGTTATTTTTTGCCATAGCGGTCTTGTCTGCTCAAACCAGTCTTGCCATTCTCCTCTGAACTCTCTACAAGGTGTTTCCACTCACAGAACTGCCAACTGTTTTTCTGTTTTTCACGCTATTCTGTGTAAGGGGGTCCCAGGAGGACTAGTGGTTAGGCCTCGGGGCTATCACCTCTGCAGCCCGGGTTCGGTTCCAGGGAACCAACCAAAGCCACTCGAGTTGCACGTGACAGTACAGTGCCGGTCCCAAGCCCGGATAAAACTGGGGAGGGCTGCATCAGGAAGGGCGTCCGGCGTAAAAACTGTGCCAAATCAAATAGGCGGACCAATGATCCGCTGTGGCGACCTTTAACAGGAGCAGTTGAAAGAAGAAGAAGAAGAACAACAACATTATTCTGTGTAAACTCTAGGGACTGTTGTGTCTCAGATCAGCAATCTCTGAAATATTCAAACCAGCCTGTCTGGCACCACAAACCATGCCACGGTCATAGTCATTGAGATCATATTTCCCCCATTCTGATGTTTGGTGTGAATATTAACTGAAACACTTGACCTCTGTGTGTATGATTTATGCACTGTGTTGCTGCCACATGATTGGCTGATGAGATAATTGCAAGAATGTGTAGGTGTACAAATGTTAATAATAAAGTAGATGGTGAATGTATGAATTAAATGGAATGTTTTACAAACAAATGCAGAAGATTTATTTTCCTGTTGAATAAGTGAACAGGGAGGAGCCCTCTGTTTGTGTGTGGTTTGCATGTTTAGCATTCTGTTCTCTGTCATGTCTCTTAGAGACCACAGGCGAGACATGGAGTAGGTGGGGCCAGTGGGCCACTCCTCGCTGCTAGCCTTTCTCTCCTCATAATATGACCAGAACCAGCATCAAACTTTAATGTGTGTTTGCTTGTGTTTGCGTGTACATGGCAAAATGTCCGGGATTGAATTAACATCTACAGTCATTAGGGATAATTTAGCACTGTAGGTGTTAATTCAATGCTGGGGGTTCTGCTATCCTGTGTGTGCTTGTCATTTTTATTGGAGTATAAATGTTCCATGTTAACTACTGTTGATCTCACTGAGTTACACTGTGTATTGTGTGATACGAATAGAGTTGAAGATTATGCGTTTTTGCTTTTTCCTGGGTGAGTGTGTGGACGTGGCCTTTGCAATGGGCCTCTCTACTGTTTCTCTTTATGTGTACATACTGTTTTCTAAGTGTATATTTTATGTTTCTGTATGTTTGGGAAATCATGTTAATCACATGCATATTCAGCCCATTATCTCTGGCAGCAGGCTGTAACACTCAGATCAGTCATCCATGTGAGTTTCTGCTGCTTAGACTTCAGTGAACAAAAGAAACATATTAAGTATGTGAAAAGAGACGGTTTTTATCGGATAAATCTAACATTTTTCATCTAGCTACCCAGTAGCTCTTTTCCAACAACAAGGTGCCAATGCTATTTCCAGAATAGCCTAATCTGGACTGGCTCCACCATTTTTATTTTACTGGAAAAATGCCAGTTTTCGGATGCAAAATTGGTTTAATTCCAGCATCAGAATGTTGCCGGTATGGAGCCATGAACGCGATGTCAAGAGGGCAGCATCATTTCATTGCCATGACAACAGCATGAACAACTCAAGTTATTTAAATGGTCATAGTTAAAGCAAAAAATCTAAATTGTTATTACAATGATCAGTCAATAAGTTTGAGGAATTACTATTATAGTACAGTTAACTGAATATACACTAACCATCCACTTTATTAGGAACACATGTACACCTGCACTTTCATGCAGCTATCTAATCAGCCAATCATGTGCAGCAGCACAATGCAAAAATCATGCAGATGCAGGTCAAGAGCTTCACTTAATGTTCACATCAGATAAGAAAAAGTGTGATCTCTGTGACTCTGATCGTGGCATGGATGTTGGTACCAGAAGGGCTGGTTTGAGTATTTCAGAAACTGCTGATCTCCTGAGATTTTCACACACAACAGTCTCTAGAGTTTACACAGAATGGTGCAAAAAACAAAAAACATCGAGTGAGCGACAGTTCTGTGGGAGGAAACGCCTTGTTGATAAGAGAGGTCAGAGGAAAATGGCCAGATTGGTTTGAGCTGCCAGGAAGGATATTGTATCTCAAATAATCACACTGTACAACTGTGGTGAGCAGAAAAGCATCTCAGCATGCACAAAACATGCATAAATGAGCAGGTGTGCAGGTGTTCCTAATAAAGTGGATGGTGAGTGTAGATGGTGAGAGATTGGGCTTTGGATGGTAAAAATGTTGTTAATGCCAAAAGTAATTTACAACTTTACAACCTACAGCCTTCCACATGGTTAGAGTAAAGCGTTATCTAGTTTCACAGCCCTAACCTCTATGGTTTGCTGGAAAGTCTGGTATGTGGTATGTTGCCAAGAGCCACCTACTTTCACATGAAGAGGCAATTTGATCAACATTGCAGACAACAAACCACAGACCATCAACTCTAGCATGGGTTAATTTCAGTGAGAAAGTGAATTGACGCAACTGCAGAAAGTCAACTAATCATGTTGTGTATTTTGGGCTGTGGGAGGAATTTTGTTATAGATGTGACATGCTAAACTGAGCTGTGAGGTGCAGACTGAGCCAAAGGACTCAAAGAGCTGAAGTTCTGCAGAAATTAGATGTGTCCTGGATATTTTTGGAATGATGAACAAAAAGAAAAAATAAACGCTGGATGTGGAACACAAAATGTTATCTAGTTATTAGGATATCAGGAGCACCTGATATCCTAATAAGTTTTGTTTACTTTTTACTGTTGGCATATTTCTGACCAATGAAGGAAAGAGTTTTCTGAGTATGTTTCCAGCCCTACACGCCCCTCAGCCAATGTTTTATTTATTTATTTATTTTGGATATTTTTATATGTTTAGCAGAGAATGCATGTTCACAGAACAGATTGTAACCCTCAACAACCTGAAACTTGTGAACCCCAGGTTTCGGAGCACCTGATATCCTTTGTGCACTTTTTCTGAGCTGAGACCAAGCTATTTGACAGAGGACGACGGAAGCGAGAGAGCAGAGGCGATAGGTTGAAACCTGATCAGTGTGTAAAATTGCGCTGCTCAGGAAAGAGAGCATTTTGTATATAGGAGTGTGTATGAATTGTCAGGATTTGTCTTTCTGTACAGGATGTTGGATGTGCCATGAAGTGTGTTTAACCTGTAAAGCTGAGGTGTGTGTGCATGTGTGTGTTTAGGAGAATGCAGTAAATGGGGAGCACCTGTGGCTGGAGACCAACTGCTCTGGAGAGATGTGTTACCTGGGCGAGGAGACATGCATGGTGAAGATTGCAGTGAGTACATAAGACTACTGTGCATAAAGAGATAAATGCAACACCCTCTTGGTCATCAGTGCATACGATGCCTAATGAGTGTTGAGAAAAGTCTAGAATTTTTTATATATCCTGTTTGTTTGCCTTATTATGGAATAAATAGTCTATGAAAATAGTCCCTGAATAATAACATTAACTGCAGTGAGGAGTCAGATGAGTGAAGGCCACGGATGAATAGATGTGTCATTAGAGTGCTTCTGCAATGACACTTCTTTTCATGAGGTAATACGCAGACAGTGTGTGCTGAAAGCCAGAGATTGCTATTAGTCTGAAGAGGATAAAGGCAGGCAGGTGAATCTGCGCTCGCTCTCAGTCAGGCTTTTGTTTGCACTGAGCATGGCACTCTGAGGTGTTAAAGAACTCTTTGATTACCTCTCCAGGCAAGTTGGCAAATCTTTTGCCTCAAAACAAGCTTTTTATTGCAGGCAGCAGGAAGGAAGAGATGGTGTTTATAATACAAATGATACTATGGATGAAGGCGTAAATGCAATGAGACAAACTCTGCTTGAGATGATTGAATCTTACTCCATTGTTAAACAGTACAACTAAAACCTGTTATACACTGTGCAATTTCAGTAGTCTTTTAATATTATGGCTTGTCACACTGTACAAAACCATCTCAGTAAATCCTGGCAGGATATATGTGATAACATGTTCCCATGTCAGATTATACGATGAAGATCCTCTAATGATAGACCTGCGATTAAAGAAAATTACTGCATTCAGCCTACATCATCAAAAAAATCGATCTGAGCTCGTGCAGAAAATGGGCTCACAAACAAACAACAAAACTTTATAGAATAGTAGCAATGTTAGGCCAAGAAAATACATGTTTTAAAAGACAAAGAAGATGAGTTTGAAGCTGTTCCTCATTCTTCAGAGTGAGCTTCAGGTAATAAGGATATTTTTCTGTCCATTAGCATGTGTGGTAGCTTTGCAACTCACTGTATGCAGGGCTAGTTATGCAGCTGGTAATTTTATATTAATTAATGTGAGCAAGTATTTTCAATGGCTGCTTTCTCAAACATAGACATTCCATTTTGCATTTCATGTAATCATGTGTCGTCCTTCTGTTAGTGTTACTGGACGAGCGTCTAAGCAGCAATCGCTCACTGAGATATAATACAAGATTTCTGACCCTTCGTTGTTAGCTGTCTTTGGTCGCAACGGCATTAAATTGGCTGCCAGCGAGCAGATCATGAGTTCTAAGACCACTTATCTCACAAACAAAGAATTCTTTTCAATTCTTTGTTCAAATTAAAGTTATAAAATTCAATTAATCGTTGATTTATTCTGTGCTGTTAAAATAAACATACAACAGTTGCAAGGCCAGTGTTTGTATACGAGTGTGTGCAATTTATCCTCCTGTTATACACAATGTTAAATAAATACAAATACGAAATTTGTAAAACAGATGACAAAGCCATAACTCCAAGAAACCTTACTGTATCACACCAACAATCTTGACAAGACACTAGTTGTAGCTGTCTCATGTCAACGCCATTCATGGCCTGCCTTTTCTTTTTTGTTTGTTTATTTATTTATTTTTCAATAATTTTCCTCTTATCACTCTTTTCAATTCTCAGCCACTCATCTGTTTTGTCATTATTTGACTTGCTTTTTTCACACTAATTGCCACATTTGGCCTAGAGAAGATCCTGTGACATGAAAATATGTAAATGTATAGTAATCACAATTTACATGTCCTCAACTATAAACAGAAGCATGGTCAAGCTGAGTGAAGAAGATGTGAAAGAGATGTTCTACATGTGGTACATATGTATAAACTTTATAATATTATATAATGTACTCATGCTGGGCAACT